CTCTGTAACTCTGTCTTTAAAATAAATAAAATAAATCTTTTTAAAAAGAGAGAGAGATATATCTAATGGAATGGGAAAAAATATTTGCGAACCACCTATCTGACAAAGGATAAATATCCTGAATATATCAGTGAGCTAAACTCAACAACAAAAACACAACCAATCCCGTTGAGAAATGGGCAAAGGAATTCAATAGACAGTTCTCAAAAAAAGACATACAAATAGCCAGCAGGTATATGAAAAAATACTCAACATCACTAGCCATCAGGGAAATTCAAATCAAAACCATACTGAAATACCACCTCACCCCTGTCAGAATGGCTAAAATCCAAAACACAGAGTAACAAATACTTGCTAATAAGGATATGGAAAAGGGGAACACTTATACACTGTTGGTGGGAATGTAAATTAGTATAACTTATGTGGGAAATAATATGGAGATTTCTTTAAAAAAAAAAAAAAACTAGAAATATGCTTGCCATATGATCCAGCAGTTCCGCTACTGGGTGTATACCCAAAAGCCTTGAACACAAGGAATCAAAGAATGTTTATAGCAGCACTGTTCATAGCAGCACTGTTAACAATAGCCAGAACTTGGAATTAACCAAGATCTTTATCATCAGATAAATTGATAAAGAAAATGTATTGTGTATATACAATGGAATATTATTCAGTTATTAAAAAGAATGAAATTCTACCATTTGCAGCAAAATGGACATAGCTAGCAGATATCATGTTAAGTGAAATAAGATGGTCTATCCATCTGTTTTGTTTTTTTTGTTTTTGTTTTTGTTTTTGTTTTTTTTTAACTTTTATTTAATGAATATAAATTTCCAAAGTACAGAATATTGATTACAATAACTTCCCCCCCATAACATCCCTCCAACCCGCAACCCTCCCCTTATCCACTCCCTCTCCCCTTCCATTCATGTCAAGATTCATTTTCGATTCTCTTTATATGCAGAAGATCAGTTTAGCATACATTAAGTAAAGATTTCAACAGTTTGCTCCTGCACAGAAACATAAAGTGAAAAATACTGTTTGAGTACTAGTTATAGCATTAAATCTCAATGTACAGCACACTAAGGACAAAGATCCTACATGAGGAGTAAGTGCACAGTGACTCTTGTTGACTTAACAAATTGACACTCTTGTTTATGGCATCAGTAATCACCCTAGGCTCTTGTCATGAGCTGCCAAGGCTATGGAAGCCCCCTGAGTTCACTGACTCTGATCATTTTTAGACAAGGCCATGGTCAAAGTGGAAGTTCTCTCCTCCCTTCAGAGAAAGGTACCTCCTTCTTAGATGACCCATTCTTTCCACTGGGATCTCACTCGTGGAGATCTTTCATTTAGGTTTTTTTTTCCCCCCAGAGTGTCTTGGCTTTCCATGCCTGAAATACTCTCATGGGCATTTCAGCTGGATCCACATGCCTTAAGGGCTGATTCTGAGGCCAGAGTGCTCTTAGGACATTTGCCATTCTATGGGTGTGCTGTGTATCCTGCTTCCCATGTTGGACCATTCTCTCCCTTTTTGATTCTATCAGCTAGTATTTGCAGACACTATTCTTGTTTATGTGATCCCTTTGGTTCTTAGTCCTATCATTACGATCAATTGTGAACAGAAATTGATCACTGGGACTAGTGAGATGGCATTGGTACATGCAACCTCGATGGGATTGAATTAGAATCCCCTGGTATGTTTCTAACTCTACTGCTTGAGGCAAGTCAGCTTGAGCATGTCCCGAATTGCACATCTCTTCCCTCTCTTATTCCCACTCTTATATTTAACAGCGATCACTTTTCAGTTGTTTCAGCACTTAAGAAGAATTGTGTATTGATTACAGTATTCAACCAAAAGTATTAAGTAGAACAAACAAAAAAAATACTAAGAGGGATAACATATCAAGTTGCTCATCAACAGTCAGGGTGAGGGCTGATCAAGTCACCGTTTCTCCTAGTGTTCATTTCACTTTAACAGGTTTCCTTTTTGGTGCTCAGTTAGTTGTCACCTATCAAGGAGAACAAGTGGTATTTTCCCCTTTGGGATTGGCTTATTTCACTCAACATAATGTTTTCCAAATTCCTAACAGGGATCACTTTTCAGTTAAAATTTAAACACCTAAGAATAATTGTGTGTTAATTACAGAGTTCAACCAATGGTACTAGAACAAAAAAAAAATACTAAAATGGATAAAGTATTACATTGTACATCAACAGTCAGGACAAGAGCTGATCAAGTCACTGTTTCTCACAGTGTCCATTTCACTTCAACAAGTTTCCCCTTTGGTGCTCAGTTAGTTGTCGCCGATCAGGGAGAACATATGATATTTGTCCCTTTGGGACTGGCTTAATTCACTCAGCATGATGTTTTCCAAATTCCTCCATCTTGTTGCAAATGACTGTGTTTCGTTGTTTTTGACTGCTGTATAGTATTCTATAGAGTACATATCCCATAATTTCTTTATCCAGTCTACTGTTGATGGGCATTTGGGTTGGTTCCAGGTCTTAGCTATTGTGAATTGAGCTGCAATAAACATTAATGTGCAGATTGCTTTTTTGTTTGCCAATTTAATTTCCTTTGGGTAAATTCAGGATCAGGCTTTTTTGATTATAACTGCCCTGTAGTATATCTTGAAATCTGGTATCATGATACCTCTGGTTTTGTTTTTGTTGTATAAGATTGCTTTAGCTATTTGAGGTCTCCTGTGCCTCCATATGAATTTCAAAATCATTTTTTCTATATCTGAGAAGAATGTCTTTGGTATTTGGATTGGTATGGAATTGAATCTGTAAATTGCTTTTGGAAGAATGGACATTTTGATTATATTGATTCTTTCAATCCATGAACGTGGCAGATTTTTCCATTTTTTTGTATTTTCTATTTCTTTCTTTATTGTTTTTTAATTCTCATCATAGAGATCTTTGACATCCTTGGTTAAATTTATTCCAAGGTATTTGATTGTTTTTATAGGTGTTGTGAATGGGATTGATCTTAGAAGTTCTTTCTCAGCTATGGCATTGTCTGTGTATACAGTCTGTTGATTTTTGTGTATTGATTTTATATCCTGCTGCTTTACCAAACTCTTCTGTAATCTGTGGTTGCTTTGATATTCACTGTATATGGGTGAAGTGGTCATTATTCTATTCAGTTATTCTTTATTGCCGTTGTCTATATCCCCACTAAACTAGAATCTTTTTTCTTTTAAAGTGCTAAACTTTTTATTTGGTGAAGTATTAAGTCTTTACTGTAACGTAAATTTAAAATATGTTATGTCAAAAACAAAAAAAGGGAGAAAAGAGAGAGAGGGAGGAGAAGGGAGGGAAGAAGGGAAAATCATTATATTCTTACAATTGTATCTACAAAGCATATTAAATCTATTAAAAACTAAAATAAAAAATATAAGAAATAAACCAGCAAGAAACAACTACTACATGTTTTATTTCATATATAGACATTTTTGTGGGTACACATGTGTGTGGATGCCATATCACTTAGAATATAGAGATTTATAAATGTTGTCTTAATAAATTACATTCCTATTATAATAAGGATATAATAATAATATACTTTTATATAATTATAAGGGTATAATATAAAAAGGGTAATAATATGCCCTTTTCCCTCATTTTATAATCTGTCATGAATCCCATTTTTGTGATATTAATATATCCACCCTGCCTTAAAAAAAGTATATGTGTATATCTTTACATATAATGCAAATATGGCAAAATGTTGATAGTTGTTAAATCTAAAAATAAATAAATATAAAAAAGTAAAAAAACATAAAATGAATCTTAATTTATTTTATGCAGTCTATCAAATTATCCTGTCAACTTGTAATTAGTAATAAAATTGTTAATTAGATATTTTGTTGATATTTTATATTCTTTTCTTGTACAAAGTCATTTATATCACATTTCAGTTCAGACCAGTCCTTTGCAAGTAGTCAGTAGCCACATATCATTAGTGACTATAATATTGTTCAGTATTTTAACGTCTTACAATTCTACACTGCAGTATTTTTATTAATTTCGGAAGGTAATTATGGTTTAATCTCCTCCTATTGTAGACAAAATATACATTCCTGTCATATTCATGGTATGTGGTTACTCTTCAATCTGTCATTAATCCATGCCTTTACTCAGGTCATTCCCCACTACTATAAATGGCCCTTTCCCATCATCAGTGTCAGTATCATCCATTCGGGGCCCAAGTCATTTCATTATCCATTATTTGAAATCATCAGTGTTTGAATTTTTGCCAAGTAATCTGGTTTATAGACTGCCTTACTTGACACTGCCAGAATGCTCTAGTATAGTGCAAATACATTAGTATTCCTGCAGTGAAATGTAAAAATGTTCATGTTAATTGGGATACATCGAGATTAGGATTAGTCTCTAGCCTCATTCAGGTCTTATTAAGCATTGCTGCCAAATAAATTCAGATTAGGTAAGGTTTGTCACCAAAAATATTGTGGAAACCTTTTGGTTTTTGGAGATATGCTGACTGCAAATTGTGGTTGCCTGGTTATGAACATCCTTTGTTGCTCCAGTAACACCAGCTCTAGCTAATCTAGCCCAGAGTGCCTCCCTGTGTGCTCACTTAGGACTTAACTGTAGCAGGTTTCTGTTCTGCTCAAGCAGATGGACATTCCTGTTGGCAGGGGCATTTTTACTATCATTCTTAATTTTTTTCCATGCATACCACTCTGCCTACTTCAATAAATATTTACTTTTAAAATTTTTATTTATAAAATTGTTTTAACAGTCATGACAGGAGAATGTAATTTAAGAAAATAGGTATTACCACTTGAATGAAAACAGCGGAGATATCAAGAACACACTGTAGAGTAAAAAAGTTTGGGATAACTGGATTTCATTTCCCTTTTGGCAGATAATCACTAAATAATTACATTAGCAGTGAAAACAGAAGAGCTGTCATGAGTACTGTTGTTTGAAAAATAACCATTTTTACAATTCTATTTTTTTTAAAACAGGGAGAAGTAGGAGATCAAGGAGATATTGGAAAAATTGGTGAAACAGTAAGCTTGTTCTTTAATCTTACTTTTGTTTTTGAATCATCTGTAACCATTTTTAGAAATTATGTTAGTCATAGTCATATAAGCCACAATAAAAATAATTCTTATCCACTGCAAACTTAAACTCCCTGTGATGTCCGTATTGACACCCAAAATCTACTAAACAAAAGAAAATTAGGGGAAACACAATGGATGATTTTCTTATTCAATATAAATTAATTTTATGAGTGCACTAGCATTCTTATTTCTGGTATTTGGGTTTTCCATTCTAGTTCTGGTAACTTCCAACTAAATTTGACCTGAACAATTTTCATTATTAAAAAGCTTTTCAGGGGCCATTGTTGGGATGCAGGAGGTTAAGTCACCACTTGTAATGCCAGAATCCCATGTTGAGTGCTCATTCACATCCCAGCTGCTTGGCTTCCAATCCAGCAATCTGCTAATATGACTGTAAGGCAGTAGAGGATGGCCCAAGGGCTTGGGATCCTGTCATCCCAGCAGGACATCGGGACAGTTCTGGGACATGGTTTTGGCCTGACTTAGACCTGGCCATTGCAGCCATTTGGGGAGTGAACCAGCAAATGAAAGATCTCTCTGTCTTGCTCTGTGTCTCTGTCTCTCTCTCGCTCTCACTCTCTCTCTCTCCATCTCTTTCTCTCTCTCTTTCTCTTCCAAATAAAGAAATGAATAATCTTTGTCTATAACAAAGTTTATTAAATCACAAAACTTTAATAATTTCAAGAAAATTTTTCATTAGCATTTGAAAAGTTGGAGTAAACAAAGAGGTAATGGACTTTAAAATATAGTTTCCTTTCTCAAACTCTAAGTTGTTTTAATGTACATTATTGTAAAAATGCAATACTAAATGTATTACTTGAATCAGGTCTGTTTGTTAGAAGTAATGTTATTTTCTACTGTGAGGAACGCCAGCTAAAATAGTCTCTAACACAGGAATGAACCCACATAACAATGGAAAATTGACCAATAAAGGTGAATTTATTTAGCGTATCCTATATTAATTGTCACAAGGTAGGTGATATAATTTGATAGCATAAATAAGCAAATTCAACTCCATATAGCTTGTATTATGATTTAAAGTTTTTTTTAAAACCTGTTTTGTAAACTTTAGTAATTAAACAGTTATACACTTTAATTTCATAAACCAATATCAGAAAATTCTGGTACTCGTTTTTATTAATTGTTAATAAAAACAGGGAGAGGATCTGTTTTAGCCTTTTCTTAAATTTTGGTTAAGGCTTATAAATTTCATGTTTTTCTTACATACAGAATCAGGAACATAGTGATACTACCCATCCTACCCTCCCTCCAACCCATGCTCCAATCCTTTTTCCTCCTCCCTCTCCTATTCTCATTCTTAGTTTTTACAAAGATCTATTTTCAGTTAACTTTATACTCATAATATTAACCCTGCACTAATTAAAGAGTTCAACAAATAGCATGAAGAAAAAAAAGAAAAAAAAACCACTGTTCCTCAACAGTCAACACAAGGACTGTTCAAAACCACTGAATCTCAAAATGTCTATTTTCACTCCTTTATATTACCTTGTAAATATTTTATTAGTTACCACAGATCAGGGAAAACATATCGTATTTCTCTTTTTGGGAATGGCTTATTTCACTAAGTACAATGCTTACCATTTGCATCAATTATGTTGCAAATAACAGGATTTTAAATATTTTTTAACTTTTATTTAGTAAATATAAATTTCCAAAGTACAGTTTATGGATTACAATGGCTTTTCTCCCCATAACTTCCCTCCTACCTGCACTTCCCTCCCATCTCCCACTTCCTCTCCCATTCCATTCACATCAAGATTCATTTTCAATTATCTTTATATACAGAAGATCAATTTAGTATATATTAAGTAAAGATTTCATCAGTTTGCACCCACACAGAAACACAAAGTGTAAAATACTGTTTGAGTACTAGTTATAGCATTAATTCACATTGAACAACACATTAAGGAAAGAGATCCTACATGAGGAGTAAGTACACAGTGACTCCTGTTGTTGACTTAACAATTTGACACTCTTGTTTATGGTGTCAGAAATCTCCCTAGGCTCTTGTCATGAGTTGTAAAGGCTGTGCAAGCCTTTTGAGTTCACCAACTTTGATCTTATTTAGACAAGGTCATAGTCAAAGTGGAGGTTCTCTCCTCCCTTCAGAGAAAGGTACCTCCTTCTTTGATGGCCCATTCTTTCCACTGGGATCTCACTCACAGAGATCTTTCATTTAGGTCCTCTTTTTTTTGCCAGAGTGTCTTGGCTTTCCATGCCTAAATACTCTCATGGGAATTATAGCCAGATCCGCATGCCTTAAGGGCTGATTCTGAGGCCAGAGTGCTATTTAGGACATCTGCCATTCTATGAGACTGCTGTGTATCCCGCTTCCCATGATGGATCGTTTTCTCCATTTTTGATTCTATCAGTTAGTATTAACAGACAGTTAGTATTAACAGACAGACTTGTTTGTGTGATCCCATTGACTCTTAGACCTATCAGTGTGATCAATAGTGAACAGAAATTGATCACTTGGACTAGTGAGATGGCATTGGTACATGCCACCTTGATGGGATTGTATTGGAATCCACTGGCACCTTTCTAACTCCACTATTTGGGGCAAGTCCGATTGAGCATGTCCCAAATTGCATATCTCCTCCCTCTCTTATTTCCAATCTTATGTTTAACAGGGATTATTTTTCAGGTAAATTTAAACACCTAAGAATAATTGTGAGTTAATTACAGAGTTCAACCAATAGTATTAACTAGAACAACAACAACAAAATACCAAAAGGGATAAAGTATTAAATTGTACATCAACAGTCAGGACAAGGACTGATCAAGTCACTGTTTCTCATAGTGTCCATTTCACTTCAACAAGTTTCCTTTTTTGTGCTTGGTTAGTTGTCACCAATCAGGGAGAACATATGATATTTGTCCCTTTGGGACTGGCTTAATTCACTCAGCATTATGTGTTCCAGATTCCTCCATTTTGTTGCGAATGACTGGATTTCATTGTTTCTTACTGCAGTACAGTATTCTAAAGAGTACATGTCCCATAAGTTCTTTATCCAGTCTACTGTTGATGGGCATTTGGGTTGGTTCCAGACCTTAGCTATTGTGAATTGAGCTGCAATAAACATTAATGTGCAGACAGCTTTTTTGTTTGCCAATTTCATTTCCTTTGGGTAAATTCCAAGGAGTGGGATGGCTGGGTTGAATGGTAGGGTTATATTCAGGTTTCTGAGGAATCTCCAGACTGCCTTCCATAGTGGCTTAACCAATTTGCATTCCCACCAACAGTGGGTTAGTGTCCCTTTTTCCCCACATCCTCGCCAGCATCTGTTGTTGGTAGATTTCTGCATGTGAGCCATTCTAACCGGGGTGAGGTGAAACCTCATTGTGGTTTTGATTTGCATTTCCCTGATTGCTAGTGATCTTGAACATTTTTTCATGTGTCTGTTGGCCATTTGGATTTCCTCTTTTGAAAAATGTCTATTGAGGTCCTTGGCCTATCTCTTAAGTGGGTTTTTTGTGTTGATGTTGTGGAGTTTCTTGATCTCTTTGTAGATTCTGGTTCTCAACCCTTTATCTGTTGCGTAGTTTGCAAATATTTCTTCCCATTCTGTCAGTTGTCTCTTCACTTTCCTGACTGTTTCTTTTGCAGTACAGAAACTTCTCAATTTGATGCAATCCCAATTGTTAATTTTGGCTTTGACTGCCTGTGCCTCTGGGATCTTTTCCAAGAAGTCTTTGACAGTACCTATATCTTGCAGGGTTTTTCCAATGTTCTCTAATAATTCGATGGTGTCGGGTCATAGATTTAAGTCTTTAATCCATGTTGAGTGGATTTTTGTGTAAGGTGAAAGGTGGGGGTCTTGCTTCATGCTTCTGCATGTGGAAATCCAATTTTCCCAGCACCATTTATTGAATAGACTGTCCTTACTCCAGGGATTGGTTTTAGATCCTTGATCAAATATAAGTTGGCTGTAGATGTTTAGATTGATTTCTGGTGTTTCTATTCTGTTCCATTGGTCTATCCATCTGTTTCTGTACCAGTACCATGCTGTTTTGATTACAACTGCCCTGTAGTATGTCCTGAAATCTCATATTGTGATGCCTCCAGCTTTGTTTTTGTTGTACAAAATTGCTTTAGGTATTCGACATCTCCTGTGTCTCCATATGAATTTCAGCATCATTTTTTTTCTAGATTTGATAAGAATGTCTTTGGTATTTTGATTGATATTGCATTGAATCTATAAATTACTTTTGGGAGAATGGACATTTTGATTGTATTGATTCTTGTAATCCATGAGCATGGAAGATTTTTCCATTTTTTGGTATCCTCTTCTATTTCTTTCTTTAAGATTTTGTAATTTTCATCGTAGAGATCTTTAATGTCCTTGGTTAAGTTTATTCCAAGGTATTTGATTGTTTTTGTAGCTATTATGATTGGGATTGATCTTAGAAGTTCTTTCTCAGCCATGGCATTGCCTGTGTATACAAAGGCTGTTGATTTTTGTGCATTGATTTTATATCCTGCTACTTTGCCAAACTCTTCTATGAGTTCCAGTAGTCTCTTAGTAGAGTTCTTTGGATCCCCTAAATAAAGAATCATATCATCTGCAAAGTGCAGTAGTTTGACTTCCTCCTTCCCAATTTGTATCCCTTTAATTTTTTTTCTTGCCTAATAGCTCTGTCTAAACCTTCCAGAACTATATTTAATAGCAGTGGTGAGAGTGGGCATCCCTGTCTGGTACCAGATCTCAGTGGAAATGCTTCCAACTTTTCCCCATTTAATAGGATGCTGGCTGTGGGTTTTTCATAAATTGCTTTAATTGTATTGAGGAATGTTCCTTCCATACCCAGTTTGCTTAGAGTTTTCATCATGAAAGGGTGTTGTATTTTATCAAATGCTTTCTCTGCGTCTATTGAGAGAATCATATGGTTTTTCTTCTGCAGTCTGTTAATGTGGTGTATCA